GAGAAATCAGCCTCGATGGTCGGGGGGATAGCCACGCCACAATCTTTTCTCCTCTTGGGATTTTGGGTACACACGCACGTACATGTGCCCACCATGAGTTTCAAGTTGCCAAGTCTGGGACTCGAACCGCAGTCGATGATATGGGAGTCAGCCTGAAGCATTCCGGGCATGTACGCTGGGGGATTGGAGAAAGAGGACTGCAGAGTCACCAGACTCTGTGGGGGGCACTTATCTCTCTCTCTCATTTTCTTTCTCACTCTCACATGCACGCACATGCACTATATCATGAGTAAAGAAAAGTTTTAGGGGTCAGCAGGTGGCATGGAGGTGTTGTCGCAACTGGCCCCACAGGGCAGACAGCTCTGTTGGAGTTTCAGACCTAGCAGCTTGAAAAAACATGCTGCGTGTCCCAAAATCCCAAAAGGGAGAACAGAGGAGAAAGGACTGCAATGCGACCATCCCCCCGGGGGTTGATTTCTTTTTTTTTTTTTTTTTTCTTTTTTTTTGTTCAGGGGAGAGTGCGAACGCAGTCCCCCACTACCACAAATTATGCAGCCGAGTTTCCCACATTTGGGGAAATCCCAGGGGTCAGCACAACCGGAGTACAATGGATAAGCCTTGCCCTGGGAAAATCACCTTCGTGATCATGGTATTTCCCCTGTCAGGTAAGTATGGGGGGTTGATTTCTTCTCTGTTTTTCTCTCTGGCAACTGCATGTGCTCTACCTCAAAGACTAAAAAACTAATAAAAAAAATTAGAAGAAGAATAAAAAGATAGGGGCCAGCAGGTGGCATGGTGTTTAGAGAGCTGGACTCTCACATGGTCCACCGCAGTTCGAGTCCCGGACCTGGCAGCTTGAAAATCACACCAGGTGCGTTATGTGTGCATGCCCAAAATTCTAGGAAGAGAATGGAGTTGAAGGGATTGTAGCATGGCCAAGCCCCCTGGGAGTGATTTCTCACTTTCCTTTTCTCTGTCTCTCTTTGATACACACACACACACACACACACACACTCTGTAACAAAGACCTTAAATAAAAAAGAATGATGGGACCAGCAGTTAGCGTAATGGCTATGTTGCTGGAGTCCCATGTAGTCAACCATGGTTCGAGTCCTGGACCCAGTGGCTTAAACTCACACCGGGCGCATGTGCACGTGTGCCCAAGATCCCGAGAGGAGAATGGGGGAGAAGGGATTACAGTGTGGCCATGCCCCTGGGGGGTGATTTCTCGCTTTCTGTCTCTCTGTCTCTCTCTGTCTCTCTGGTGAGTGCATGTGTGCTATAGCGAAAACCTCTCTAAAAAAAGAAAAAAAAAAGAATGAAAATACCTATGTGTATAGTCCTCATAATGAACATACACACATATACAAGCAAACATGCACTGACAGTGTGCATACATGCGCACATGTATGTATACTCACAGCATGTATGTACGCATGTAGACACACATGTACACATATGCTCCAACTACAGTTCTTATTCTCCCAATGGTTGATAGCTTCATCTAATCAGTGGAAAGTGGCGTGGTGGATAAGGGCGCTGGATTCCCACATGGCCAACCACGGTTCGAGTCTCAGACCTGGTGGCTTGCTTTCTCACTTTCCCTCTTTCACTCTCTCTCTGTGTCTTTCTGATCAAATTAAAATAAATAAATAAATAAATAACATGAATGCATAAATAAAAATAATTTAAAAAACAAAAGAAAAGAAAACTGGAAGTGGTCCTTGACATTTGAAAAGAATCTATACATGGGGCCAGCAAGTGGCGTAGTGGTTACATGGCTGGACTTCCACACGGTTGACAGCGGTTCGAGTCCCAGACCTGACAGCTTGAAACTCTCACACGGCGCATGTGCATGCGTGCCCCCAAATCCCAAGAGGACAATGAAGGAGAAGGGATTGCGGTATGACCATACCTCCTGGGGGGTGATTTCTCACTTTCTGTCTCTGTCTCTGTGGTGAGCACCCGCGCCCTACCTCAAAAGAAAAAAAAGAATCCAGGCTTTTGTAGCAGGAGGCTGAGGGCGTGTCTTGATAAGGCGTACACACTGCTGACCCTCAAGGACAGAGACTCTGGTTGTCAGGAGGGTCATTGTGAAATACCCCAATCTGACAATTGCAAGGGTTCTGCCCAGCGTGGCTGGTGCTCCCACAGAAATGTGCTGAAATGAAGCAGAAGGCCTTTCTGGGCGTGGATCCATCTCTCCTCAATGTTTTCTTCTTTTTCACCCCTCCACATCTTCCTGACACCATGTCCTTTTTGCTTTATCTTCCATGTAACACTCCCTTCCACCCCTTACTCCCCACCTCCACGGCTCCCAGCCTGGCGTGAGCCCCCATCACTTCCTGCCTAAGCAACAGAGCAACCTCCCTGCAGGCCGCTCCCTGGATCCTTCCACACAGTTCCCTGCAGAGCAGCTGGGCTGATCACTTCCAAATGCAAAGCCGATGGTGCAGCTCCTCTGCTCAAAACCCACGGGAGGGACAAAACAAATAAATAAATGAAAGTAAAGGAACCAGCAGTTAGCATAATGGCTATGTTGCTGGACTCCCATGTAGTTGACCGCGGTTTGAGTCCCGGACCCGGCAGCTTAAACTCACACCAGGCGCGTGTGCGTGCGTGCCCAAGATCCCGGGAGGAGAATGGAGAAGAAGGGATTGCGGCGTGACCATCCCCCCTGGGGGGGTGAGTTCTTGCTTTCTGTCTCTCTGTCTCTCTCTGTCTGTCTGGCAAGCGCACGCACCCTATAGCAAAAACCTCTAAAAAACAAACAAACAAACAAACAAAAAACCATGTGAGAGAGCCAGGAGGTGGCATGGTGGTTAAGGCACTGGACTCCCACATGGCCGACTATGGTTCGAGTCCCAGACTGGGCAGCTTGCTTTCTCACTTTCTCTCTCTCTGATGAGCGCTCATGTCTTACAGCAAATGAAATAAAACATAATATAATAATAACAAATCAAATGAAAGAATTTTAGAGAATTACTTTTTTAAAAGAATTATTTTATTTAACTTAATTTATTTTAATTTGACCAGAGAGGGACAGAGTAGTGGAGGGGGGGTTAGTGAGAAAGCAAGGTGCCAGATCTGGGACCTTGTCGGCCATGTGGGACTCCAGTGCCCTTAACCACCACACCGCCTGCCGACCCCAATAATTCATTTTTTAAGGAAGTTTTTTTTTTTTTTTTTTTTTTTTTTTTTTACAGAGCATGTGCGCTTGTCCGAGAGAGAGAGTGAGACAGAGACAGAGAAAGTGAGAAATCATTCCCAGGGAGGGTGGCCATGACACAATCCTGTCTCTTCCATTCTCCTCTTGGAATTTTGGGCACGCACGCAGATGCACCTGGTGTGAGTTTCAGGCTGCCAGGTCCAGGACTCAAACCACATGCAGTCACGAGGGAATCCAGCACCTTAATGACTATGACATTTGCTGGCTCCAAATTAAATCATTCTTTTAAAAAAAACCATGAGTGGAGTGGACAGTGGCACAGCAGTAAAATGAGGCAATCTACAATGCCGACACAGATGGGAAGGTTCTGGGTTCACAACCAGAGACCTCCCTGAGTACTCTAGATATTCACACACCATGAACCGGGGCTGGCTAAGGCTGGGAGTTGGTCTCAGTGTCAAGAAATAGACATAAACGGGACCAGTAGTTGGCGTAATGGCTATGTTGCTGGACTCTCATGTAGTCGACCATGGTTTGAGCCTCGGACCCAGTGGCTTAAATTCACGTTGGGTGCATGTGCATGCGTGCCCAAGGTCCGGAGAGGAGGATGGAAGAGAAATTATTGTGGTGTGGCCATCTGCCCAGGGGGTGATTTCTCGCTTTCTGTCTCTTTTTCTGTCTTTCTGGCGGGCACATGCACCCTATAGCAAACACCGCCACACACACACACACACACACACACACACAAAAACCCCAAAACACACACACACACACACACAAACACATATATGAGGCCGGCAAGTGGCATGGTGGTTAAGGGCACTGGACTCCCACATGGTCAACCATGGTTTGAGTCCTGGATCTAGCAGCTTGCTTTCTCATTTTCCCTTTCTCTCTCTCTGTGTCTCTGGTCAAGTTAAAAAATAGTAACAAATGGATTAAAAAATACGTACGTAAGTCTTTGGGGGCCAGCAGGTGCCATAGTGGTTAAAGGTGCTGGACTCCCATTTGAACTGACCACGGTTCAAGTCCCAGACCTGACGGCTTGATTTCTCAATTTCTCTCTCTCTCTCTCTCTTGCTCTGTCCCTCTCTGGTCAAATTAAAATAAATAAAGTTAAATAAAATAATTTGAGTTTAAGCCACCAGGTCCGGGATTCGAACCGCGGTCCATTACATGGGAGTCCAGTGACACAACCATTCTGCCAATTATGTCCCTAAGTAAAATAATTCTTAAAAAACAAAATCCTGAGATGGTGGGGCCAGGCAGAAATAGGTAGCGATCTCGGGGTCCCTAAGGCTGCCTTATTAACCATTCGCTGTGACTCCGGTTAAAGAGAGTTCAGCGAGGCCCTCAGAGCCCCGCCCCTGACGTCACTAGTCCCC